AAAAAAAAAAAAAAAAAAAAAAAAAAAAAAGGATACTAAGATCCGAATATTGATTTACAAAAACGAAAGTTTCCAGTCCATTTTCAAGAAAACAAGAAAAAGAAAGAGTAGCATGTTCATACCTAGCTCCCGAAGTCCCCGTGCAATAGGACTTGCACAGCGTCCGCTTCAACCCAGGATGCCTGTAACCGATGTCTGGTCAAGCCCTTTCACACAGGGACTTCGGGAGCTAGCACCCAAAGTCCCCGTGCAATCAACCTGACCAGCCTGGGTGCCTGCAACCGCTGTCTGGTCAGGTCACCCGGCCAAGATGGTGACGGGTGATGGCCCTGGGTGGTTAGCACCAGGGTAGGACAGGGCGGGTGGAGGTGTGCCAGGGCAAAGGTGAGAGGAAGGGTAGGTGGGGTCTTCGGAGGGGTTCATCTGGACAACCAAATGGCCTATTACTGTGGGTCACTGTCATCTGTCTAGTATCCCACCTCTACAACAACCTGGGCTTTTAAACTGCTAGTACACAGCCCCAGCCTTGCAGAACGTTTTCGTCATCACAAGCACATTTTCAACTCAGAGGCACCACGTGGCCAGGGGCGCCGTTGGAAAAAAAGATCGGCGGCCTCCGAAGTGGTGCGGGTTTCATGCTGACAGCCGTGGGCCAATTTGTGGTGTACTGGTGCTTTAAACCACCATTACTTGGCCCAGCTATCGCCAGTGGGAAGAAATAGAGCAGAAACGTTTCTAGCAGGCCGATGTGTGGTGTACTGGTGCTTAAATAATAAGAGTAATAATAAAAAGAGAAAACTACGGTGCAGTCAGGGTTTGAGTTTGAAAATGCACTTCAGGCAAAAGGCCTGAAAATGTCGAATGTATACAAGCTAGGTTCTGGGTCAGGTAGGGTCACATGGGAGTGTGTTATGTTTGGGGGAATGCATGAAGTGCATTTTCAGACTGCTTTCGTGACTGCACCATAGTTACCCGCAATAAAAAGGATCTCTTTTTGAAATGACCCTCCGACTTCCATTTATTTGCGGTATGCTTCTCTGACAGCCGACTTAACCTGCTGTGCCCCTCTGACAACTATTGAAGTTTCTGAAACCCCCCTGGCATGGTTTGGGCCTGAAATATGTTCAATATGCCCCTACCAGTACTACTTCCAAATTTCCAGTATGCCCCGGTAGCTCCCGTCCCAGGGCCAGGGGAACGGCAACGGCCACAGGGGCATGCTGAAATGTTGCACCCCTCACTGACAGGGGCCTGCAGGAAACTTCAGAGGGCCCACGCGAAATACAGGGTAAGTCAGCCGTCGGAGGGGCATATCCCAAAATGGAAGTCGGAGGGGCATTTTGAAAACTTCCCCTCAAAAAGAAGGGAAAATAAAAGAGACCTCTTTCTTTTTTCAGGCTCTTCCTTTTTCTAGGCAGTACGTGTGAAACACTACGAGTTGTTGCAGGGCATATTTGGGTCGCTCTACTGCCACAAAAAAACTTCTATCCTTGTGGGTTGCTAAGGGCCTCCTTCTATACCACTACAGTACACTCGTACTACACTTTTTACACTGTTCCACTGTACGCTACACTTTCCTCAATCACTTTCCAGACGTGATTTGGATTCCCACCCTTCCGGGTAAGACAAAGACATCCTATTCTACACCAACAATCCACACAACAACTCCAACAACCACGATAAGCTCGTCAACGATATCTACATGAACAGTGCCATCCGCGATGACATCATCAACATCAACAATTTTTCCAATGACAACAACAGCGAGTCTGACGACGACATCTGAAATACAATTTCCAGCCATGACTGTCTTGCTCACAACGATCGACACAATCGGCGTCCAACCAAGATCTGTCGATGGGTCAGCTACTATGGTGAGGGCTATTCGATCTCTTCCCGCCCTCTCGCATGAAAATTCTGCCGTGTATGAGTTGATGCTGATCTGGGGATGCGGTGACGGGTGGAAGGATGATGAGTTGTTCCCGTGAGATTCGGGAGGAAGAAGAGAGGCTGTGGAGAAGGGATTTGGGACGCAGGGGTGACTTCTTGGTTGTTTTCTCTCCCCACTCCCCTTTTTTCTCTCATCTGTGTTGATCCCCCTAGTTTGGTGAATTCTTCCTCTCTTGTGGTGCTTGATTTCAGCCCATCTCATGGGGCTATATTCAATCCTTGGCCATCATCGGTTAGGGTTCGACTTGGTTTGATGGTCTTTACGTATAGATTTGAATTTTCTCCCACTTAGTGGGCTCCCCTTTGCTTCTGTCTCTTATACACATCTAGATGTGTATAAGATGTACTACGGTTGTCCAAGGCTCGACAACAAAGTCCGAGGCTCGGCAATGACCGGGCTACCGGTAGCCTGAGCCACGGGCCTTGACAACCAGTAGGTACTGGTGGTTTAACTACTGTTATTTAGGGGAAGCTCGTCACAATTACTAAGGAACTTCTAAAAAAAAAAAAAGGATTCCCACCCTTCCCAAAGAGCGTCGAAAAAGTGTAGTGCGAGTGTAGTGCATCCCAGGCAAATGGGCCCATTTTTCAATTGACCTGTCTGAGGTCACTACACTTTTCCTACAAAAGGTGCAAGCCCCTTGGTGCAGGTTGGTATCGTCTCCCCTGGTCATTTCTTTTTCCCTTTTTCCTGCTTTCACCTGCCTTGGTCCTGGGGCAAATTTCAAGTGACATTTCCCATGCGTTTTGTATAAGGTGAAGTGTAGTGTTAGGTGGAACGATTAAATATTTTACCATTAGTATCTTTTAATTATAATTAATTACTATTAGTATCTTTAATTACAACTACAATCCAGCGCCTAGCTCAGTTGGTGAGGCACACAAGTGGCATTCAAGAGGTCTTGGGTTCAATCCCCATTAGCCTCATGTACCTTCCTGGGCATGCTTGGCGCCCGCCAGCTAGAGATAGCCCGTTGATCCCCCCAATTGGCATTAAAAAGCAGTCTCTGCTGATGCTCATAGGGAAGGGCTAATCGGGGAGGCACAGCGACTGGCCACTCAGATGATGCTCTGTCCCTCTGCTACCGGCTGTGCCCTGGCCGGTGTCCCCCACTGGGGGGGTGGTTCCTGAGGGCAAGAAGGCCACCCCTGGCCGGTGTCCCCCACTGGGGGGGTGGTTCCTGAGGGCAAGAAGGCCACCCTGGGCTGGAAAGGGCCCCCGGTGTCAGATTAGACACAAGATTGAATTTACCTAGGCTGGTTAGTCCGATGATAATACCTCAAGGGCATAGCCCTTTTAAAAAGATAATAAATAACAAAAATATTAATAATAATAATAATTACAATTACAACTCTAGTGCGGGTGTAGCACTACAGTTCCGACTGTAGTGTAGTGGTATGGAACGAGGCCCTCATGCGACCTCGCCCGCCCTCGTCATCCTCATTTCTCCAGAAGCTGGCCACGAGCGAATGCTCTCACTACCCCAAAAGCTGCCCCAAAAGCTGGCGGATACTCTCTCCCGTCAACAAGCTCCGTTTTTTTCCTAGCGTGGAATTAAAAAAAAAAAAAAAAAAAAAAAAAAAAAAAAACCGTTGCCAGTTCGTCCTTCTATTCACAAGTCCAATCTCCGGATACTATGTAAATATAAACAAATATGTAAATATAAACATTCTGTTTGACTACATATATCTATATAAACTTAAACTTACTATAGGCCCCGTCCCAGTCTGTGGGGTGGGTGCGCAGCATACGCGTGACCAGTGCATAGCCTCATTTCTCCAGCTGACTGACAAATGCTTTCACTGGCGGAAGCTCGTTGACGAGCTGTTCCCAGTCCGGCGTACCCTTGCCGCTACGCCGTATTCGCCCGTCCAGTCTCAGAATAACATACACCTCCTCCCCTGGCTGAACGCCGCCTGTGACCTCCTGCTGCTGCAGCATCCACTGCTCCCATCCTTGCTGCGAGACTGGCTCTGCCTTGAACTTCCTCTCCGCCTCTTCCACGGCTTTCCCAGCGAGCGTCTTCGCCCTCTCCGCGAACTCGTCAGTCATTGTTGCGTTCCCTGGTGGTCCAACTGCTGTAGTCGGTGGACTTGGGCCCGCCGCTGCTGCTGCCACAGCCGACCCAAATCCTTTCTTCCTCCGCTGGTCCAATATGTCATTTCCACTTCCAAAGACAAGTGGAATCAGCAGGATCCCCCTCTCCAGCAGCTCTGTTCTGTACCTGCCTGCCCTCTTCACAGCCTGAGCCACCGCCTCCGCCTTCCCCGCTATTATCACGGGCCTGCTGGTGCCGCGCAACTGCTCCAGGGTGAGACTTTTCCCCGTTGAAAGCCGAACCCGCAGCCGCGAGAGCGTCTCGTCCCTGGCGATCCGCCGGATCTGCTGCTCCTCTCCCCTCTTGTCCCACTGGTAAAGCACAGCGAACAAGGCAATGCCTCCAAGGTTGATGGCCAGGTTCTGAAGAGTGGGGACCACCTCGGGAGGCGGAGGTGCACCCAAGCCCGCCCCCCCCGGAACCCCCTTTAGAGCAGCAATTAGCCGCGGGATGGTAAAGAATGTGGAGATGGTGGCTGCTGCCGTCAACGACAAGTAGAAGAACAGCCTCACCCCTCGAAAAGGGGCCTGGACTTCGGCGATCATGCGCAGGTCTTTTCGAAACCCTTGACCCGCCGACCGGTCGCCCGCCAAAGCCTGATTCTGCAGCTCAGCAAAGATGGCGGTCGCACGGAAGGTTTCCAAATCCGGGTCACTGAGAATTGTGCCGAAGCTGAGGTTGTACTTGGATAGGACCGTGCGGAGAGCCTCGGCGGCAGCCTCGTTCTCGTCCCTCAGCGCATGACAGCAAGCCTTGTTGTAGAGTGCCGCCTGCGCTACCTCGGCGCTCGGCCTCATGGACAGGGCTTCCTCGAAACAGGCAAGTGCATCGGAGATCCGTGACTTTCCATAAAGGGAAAGTCCCCGCTCCACGGCTTCTCTCGCGCTCGGAGAAGAAGAAGAAGAGGAGGGGGAGGGCGAGGAGGAGGAGGAGGAGGAGGCGCGTACCTGAACTGCTGCGCTGTGGTTCAATCTCGATCTGCGTGACGCGCCAGCTACGCCGCCGTAGCCATAGCCATCACTCCCTGCGCGAGGCTCATCGCGAGCGGAAGGGACCCCCGCATGCAGGCCATCTCCGCGCCCCTCCGGTGAGGAGAAGGATGAAGAAGGAGATCGGCAGCAATCGCAAAATAGCAGCCGCGGGATTCGCGCATCCCGCTGCCACCGCCGTCGGCGGAACCGCTGGGTCGCTGCAGCCGCCACGTGCCGGCGGCGGACTGCAGCCGCAGCGACCGGTAGCAGCGTTGAATCCTCATTATGACATGAGGTAAGAAGAAAAGCACCCGCCGAGGAGACAGCGACGCTCATCGTCAGAGGAGGGTGCAGAGGGGGGAGGGAAAGCACGACGTGACAAAGACGCTCTTCACTGCAAGATGCTCTCTCTCCTCAACAAGCTCCTTTTTTTCTCTCAGCCTGACATACGTACTCGTACCACTTCGCTGAAAAAAAAAAAAAAAAAAAAAAAAAAACCTTTCCAGTACGTCCTCCTATTCACCCGTCCAATCTCAGGATCATACGAGTCGGTCAAACTCCGACGAAAAAGTTTGTCACAGCCCCTCGTTTGTTGTCCTCTTCTCCCTCTTGTCCCTCTCTGCCTACAGTTTACCGTAGGCAGCTCTGTTTGACTATATATGTATGACAATATATATAATAAAATATAAATATATACTAGGTGCCCTGTTGCAGCTTCGCTTGCAAGAAAACTGGAGGGAATACGGCCTAACCTTTTCTCTCTTTCTATAGGCTTCTATCGTTTTTTGGGGGAAGCCATTACCTTCTCAGCATCGTTCTTTATTTTGCGCTTTGTGAAATGACCCACACAGTTGCACTCTGGGAACTTCAACCTTTCTGAGAAAATGCTGTCTCATTCATCTGATTGCTCAAGCTTCCGATTCCAAGTCTGTTTGCTGTGTTTGCTGAATATGTTTGTGATATGTATGTCATGTGCTTACTTGCTGAGTTTTGCCTCTCTATGTGTGTGCGTGTGTGTGCGTGTGTGTGTCTCTGTGTGTGTGTGTGTGCCCATGCAAGTGCATGTATGTGTGGGTTTCAGTCTCGGTGCAGTGGGCCCAGATGGTATAATGATTGAGAATTGGCCAGGGGGAGTGGTCCAAAGTCTCCTTCAGTTATAGGAGTGCGATTGTCGTTAAGCAAGCAGAGGCTTGTAATGTATGAATGAAGTAATCAGCACCCCATCTGCTTCGCCTGCTTCCGAATCGCAGTTGCTATTCGCTGGGGGGAGTTGTCAGAAGTAGTGTTGCCATGTGAGCCGAGCCATAATGCTGAGCGTGCATCTTGGAGCATTTCCTGGAAGGCAAAAGCCAGAGAAAAAAACGGCCAGCACGTGTCAGAAAACACTTCGTAGACTGTGGCAATCTCTCTCTCTCTCTCTCTCTCTCTCTCTCTCTCTCTCTCTCTCTCTCTCTCTCTCTCTCTCTCTCTCTCTCTCTCTCT